TTCCCTTTTCTCTTAAAGAATCAGAGTCAAGAAACCTTGAAAGGGGAAATATACAGAAGACAGGTAGACAGGAGCAGGAAGAAATAATAGGCCATGTACAGAAGGTTACCAAGGCAGAAAGCCCTGGATGCCTAGCAATGGGAAAAAAAGTTTTGTGGGTTGTAACCTTACCTCTAGGGTGATCTTTCCTCCCCTTAGTATATTGCTGATCATGTAATTTAGAATCTCTGAGCTTTCATATCTTTGGTTATGTGGTTCAGACTCCACCCTGATGAGATTTCCTTTCCTAGTATGTCACTATTTAGGTGGTAGAGTCCTTAGAGGAGGAACAATGGGCCAGAGAATAACCCCGTATGACTCCCATGCAACCCTAGCACAATCTACCCTTCAAAAATTAAGAACTCTGGATAATGAAGTTAAGGAAATCAGTTAAGAACATTCCCCTTTCATTATGCTCTAAAAACTCCAGATAAGACTCCCAGGCTCCTGCCACACCCTCAGAGAAGAAAAACCACTTGGACGCTTGCACGCACGCACGCACGCACGCACACACGCGACAGGGCAGTTACGTCATCCCCTAGTAAGGTGCCTTTTGTGGAGCTGCCCTTATGTTGCCTGTACAAATAAGCAACATGTCTGTGGCAACAGATTCCGAAACTTTGTCTCCTATTTTGTAGTAAGCCATCCGGCAAGTACTAAACAAACCCAAGCCAAAGAAGTTCAAGCAGTGAGGCTCTGCGGTTCGGTTCATCTTCCTTTCGCTTTTTTGCCTTCCACTTCTCTCTGCACTAGGGGACCTGCGAACAGTCAGGCAGCATCCAGGGAGACTCCCTTCCTCTCTGGGCAAGATGGCAGCGGATGAAGCTATTCTGACTCTGCGGCAGCCTCATCTTTCCCGTCAGAATCTCACCAACTTGGTAAGTTTTTGTTCTGGGAAAAGGCGGGGTGTACTCGAGGGTGAGGGGAGAGGCTAGGGAGGGCTCTGAGACGAGGCATTATAGTGCTGTCTGCGAGTTTGGCGTTGGGTGTGAGATCATAGGATCTGGAGCTCCTCGAGGATTTGCAGGAAAGTTAATGGTGTTAAATGTGCTTAGCAACAGTTAAACATATTAAGGTTTGCCTTTTTAAAGGTCTGTGGAGGGAATATTTTACACTCTCCTCGTGCTAATTCTGAAATTTCGAGCCTACACCTTCCAGATCTCCTACAGTGAATAGAAGCTGTAGTAATAGTATCTTTTGCGAATGTAAAGGGCCATTTAGGACTGATTAGTCCAGTGATTGTCTCTGGAATAAACACTGCTTATACACAAAACATGCTTTTTTGTAAAAACTAAAGAGCTGAATACATGGTGACGAGATGTGTATACTAAACCTGAAATCAGAGTCCTGGTCTCTTCTGCCTGCGCTTTAATATAAAACATTTTATTGCAGGATGCTACCAAGTTGACTCCACTCTCAAAGGAAGCTATCAGCAGACAAGCCACAATTAACATAGGTAAGAACAAATGATTGCATAGAGTAGTATTATTGTTTTGGAAGCCTGACTTGGCTACTATCCAACAATGAATTTTAATCTCTTGTGCCACATACAGAATTATAGGAGGACACGTATAACAAATAGATTTGAGCATTGATGAGCACCTGCTAGATTTTTTTTTTGGAAACACAAACATTGTGTTCCATTCTTTTCTTATGGAAGTATGCGTGATGCAAAGGCACAGATAGATGAAAAGGCTGTGTGCACATGTAGCAGAAGTTTAAGGATGAGGTGTTGCACAAGATTATATTTTTTATTTTATTTTTCATTACTGCAGTTCATATTCAATAGTGTTTTAGTTTCAGGTGTGCATGCACAGGATTATCCTAAGAGCAGGGAATGTAAAACTCTTATTTGATACATAAACTTGTATTAAGTGCTTTTCTTAATAGGCACCTTTGTAATTTGGAAAAGAAGTTAGTTAATTGAATGTAAACTTTAGACATTATTTTAAGGTTTCTACATACAATAGAACCTAAGTTAAAAAAAATTGTAATAGTAAATCATATTTACTACTGTTAAAGTATTTTGTTACCTGTAATTAAACTGACATTATTTCATCATTTTCATGGATTTCCTTTTTTTTGTATCAGATTTATGTACATATTTACCTCACTCAAAATACTGGAAGGTTTTTTAGTGTACAAAATGTTTTGTATTTTTCAGTTAGTATTTATTCATGGGAAGGTGATTTTTTTGAGGTTAACAGCAAGTTAAATTAACATGTTACCTAAATGAACTTTGGTTCATTTCTTGGTGAGCAGGGAACCAGATCTTGGGAGCTTTTGTTCTTAGAAAGCTTATGTATATTCATGGTGAAAATTTTGTTATAGCATATGGAATCCAGCATCAAGTTGGCATATGCATAGTGACAGGTTTTTTGTTTTTTTAAAAATATATTTTATTGACTTTTTACAGAGAGGAAGGGAAAGGGATAGTTAGAAACATCGATGAGAGAGAAACATCGATCAGATGCCTCCTGCACACCTCCTACTGGGGATGTGCCTGCAACCAAGGTACTTTCCCTTGACCAGAATCGAACCTGGGACCCTTCAGTCCGCAGGCCGATGCTCTTTCCACTGAGCCTAACTGGTTACGGCAACAGGCTGTTTTTCATCTCAACCTCTTGAGTCAGTTTTCTTTTGTCTTTATTCATTGGTGTTGCAGGTGACTGTCTGAAGGCCCAATCCGTGGAACATAGGTTTACCAGTGTAATTCATGGAAATTTTAGTAACTTTTGAGTTTGGGGTGACCTACTAGCTTGGAGGTGACATAGAATTTGCTTTTTTATAAGGTAGTCATGTAGCCAGCACCGGTTTGGCTCAGTGGATAGAGCGTCGGCTTGCGGACTCAAGGGTCCCGGGTTCGATTCCGGTCAAGGGCATGTACCTTGGTTGCAGGCACATCCCCGGTGGGGGGTGTGCAGGAGGCAGCTGATCGATGTTTCTCTCTCATCGATGTTTCTAACTGTCTATTCCTCTCCCTTCCTCTCTGTAAAAAATCAATAAAATATATTAAAAAAAAAAAGGTAGTCATGTACATGGTAGAGTTATCTGAAGTTGTGTTTCAGAAAGACTTTGCATAGAAAAGGGTATGTGACAGGGAAAATGACACCATTATAGGTTGTAGATTGTTACTCACCCTCCCATGTTGGGGCCCCAAAATAAGGTCCTCTTGCCCAGTGCCGCTTGTGCTCATAGAACAAAACCAAAGCAGAGCAGAAACTTTATTCTTCGATCAACAAATGGGAAAAGGTGATCTCATGCTCTAAAAGCACCTTGTGTCCTTGGTTAGAGTTTGGGAAAATTTTAAAGCTGCTAGTTGTGTAAATGGGATTGACAGGTGGGAAGTTCTTATAAAGAGACAGCCACTTCATGGAAGTGTTGGGGTATATACACTCTTGCCAGCACCTTGGCACAAAGTACAAATTGTGGCTAGCAGTGCACATTTCTTTGCCCGGGTATGATTTTTAGTATGTTAATGTAGGCAAGTTCTCTAGAGGTGGGGATTGGAGGATGGTGCAATTCCAAGCAAGTTGGCCTCCCTTTGCTTGAGCTGTCTGCAGTTGCTGTGGTTTACCATTAGCAGTTTGCTTTAGTTCCTGTAAGCAAACAGGCTTGTGACATAGTTTAGATATTTGGGAACAATCCAGTCTACTAAAAGATAACCTGGTGCCAGTTGCAATATTTAGTGTGCTATAGGTTGGTTTTTTTCTAACTATACTGAAATACTTGGTGTAATTGGATGCATTTGTTGTTCTTTGTAGGTACAATTGGCCATATTGCTCATGGAAAATCTACAGTTGTCAAATCTATTTCTGGAGTTCACACTGTCAGATTTAAAAATGAATTGGAAAGAAATATTACAATCAAACTTGGGTACACTAATGCCAAGGTACATAATATACTATGGAAGGAGAAACTATTTTACTTCAATTGTCAAGGATGCAGATGCTAAAACCAGTCTTTTCATGGCAACTTTTAGATTTATAAACTTGATGATGCAAGTTGTCCTTGGCCAGAATGCTATAAACTTTCCTTGGGTAAAGGTGGAAGTAGTACACCTGATGAGTTTCCTACAGACATTCCAGGGACCAAAGGAAACTTCAAATTTGTCAGGTGATTATTTTTATGCTAAACAGTTTTTTTTTTGTTTTGTGCTTATTGAACTATTTAATAGAGATTTTAAACTTGGGCTTGCATCTTTGCCAAAACGTTGAAAAACATTTTCTAGCTAAGAAGTTTAATTTACAATAGTTGTTTAATAGCTTTTATAAGTATTTATATTATTATATGTATCATAAAGATTAGTTTTTATGCCAATTATTTAAACCTAAGCTGAAATACAGATGTACAAATTCTCTAAAGCAGTGGTTCTCAACCTTCTGGCCCTTTAAATACAGTTCCTTATGTTGTGACCCAACCATAAAATTATTTTCATTGCTACTGTTATGAATCATAATGTGAATATTTGATATGGAGGATGGTCTTAGGCGACCCCTGTGAAAGGCTCGTTCGACTGTCAACGGGGTCGTGACCCACAGGTTGAGAACTGTTGCTCTAAAGAATGACCGTATATCAGAATGAAATCATTATATTTGGTAGTTTTCTTTTGTTTGCAACATTGCTGTTTCTTGTTTCTTAGGAAAAGAGTAAAGACATTCTTAAATTCTTTTTTAACACTTTGGATTTTGGAATGTCATTGCACGTTTTGACTCTTGATAAGAGGACACTGACATACACTAAGTGACGTATGTGGGTGTTTAGATTACCCAAAAAAAGTTTAAAGCATGAGCATATGAACATACAATTTTTGAAAATGGTGACTGAATACACAGTGTCTTATGTTTGTTTATTTTTAAGTGCTGTCTTCTATGCATTAGGTTAGCATTTCCATTAGTTTGTCAAGATGCTAGATATTCTTCTGCAAATTCTTCTTTATACATGACAGTTCCCATTCTGATAATACAGTTTTGTGCTTCCCTCCCCCGCCCCCAAAGCAATCTAATTTATTTGAAATGATCACAATTTTACTCCCAGGAAAGCATATCTAAAACATATTCAGCTACTTTATTTTTTATAAATTTTAATGGCTTAAAAACTAAAATTACAATTTATATATTCATATGGTGATGCATAGTAATTTTTTATTTTAAGTATCTTATACCTAAATTTATAAATCTTTGTATATATAATATTCTTTTCATTTTCCAACAACTCTGCTCTACATTTTTTCATTTCTAATTTGAAATTATTATAGACTCACAGGAATTGGAAAGGTAGCATATACCCAGTCAATATTAAATGGAATATAGGGAATACTACACACATAAATAGCATAGATAAATGCACTGATTAATTCCTCAAAAAATACGTACTACCACAACTAACCCAGTATGAATTACATAATTTAAGTAGCCCTGCAGCTATTAAAGAAATTGAATTTGTCTTTTAAAAACTTTGGATAAAGAAATCTCTAGTCCCAGATGGTTTCAATGGAGATTACTAGTAAACATTAAGAATTAACATGGATTGGACACAATAGAAAAGGAGAGAGCGGTTAACAGCTCATCTTCTAAAGTAAGTATAAGCTTAATAGCAAAAGCAAACATTTTTACAAAAAGTAGAAACTAGAGTCTAGTATCTTTAATGAATATGTCTTACAAAATGTTAGCAAATAGAATTTAACAATGTCTAAAAGATACATATATAATGAACAAACGGGGATTTATTATAGGGATACAACAAGGCTGGTAAGACTAATTTATTGTTTCATGAAAGGGTTCTGTATGCATGTACCCTGACAATATCAAATCCTATTTAATAAAACCCTTATATTCAAATTGACCAAGCAGTGGAATGGCTGGTTGCTGTGTCGGTGGCTATGTCGCAGATGCTCGGAGGCAGCTCCTGCGTTGAACTTCTGCACTCCCTCCCAACCCCAACCCCATCTCCAGAGGGAGGTGACCAGCGATGGCAATGGGAGGATGGGGCTGGCCAGCAGCCAGTGCCAGGCTGCCAGCCAAGGCGGGTGCCAGTGGGGGCCACACACTCACCCCACCCGCCAGTTGTCCCACAGATGGCCCTGATTGTAGGCCAGGCCTAGGGACCCACCCTATATATTGGGAACAGTCTCTTAGATTTAAAAATTAAAACCTGGTAAGGCTACACCAACACTGAAAAAACAGGATGGTGTAATGATGACATGCATGGACTCTGGCTTGCACATTTTGTGGTCAGCCCTGATTCTGACACTTATAACTGTGTGACAAAGCCAATTACTTAACTTCTCTCTGCTTCAGTTTTTCAATCCATAAGATGGGGAAAATGGTACTACTGCCTCAGAAGAATTATGTTAGGTACTACGTTTTAAAAATCAGGGCAAAAAAAAAAGTGGCTGCCCATAAAACAGCAAGATGAACAGCATGGCACTGGTGCATGCATGTCCTGTATTGCGAGGCGAACATCCGACTGCCAGTATAGGCCCGACATCCCCGGAGGGGTCCTGGATTGCAAGAGGATGCAGGCCAGGCTGAAGGACCTCCTGTACATGAATTTCATGCATCGGGCCTTTAGTGGAATATAAAATGCAAAGTAGCATCCAAATGTCAATGAAGCCAAGAAGCCAAAGAATGATGCAGATAAATTCGGCTTTTTGGTTTAAAGGGTCTTAATAGGAAATTTAATTACAGAGATGCAATCCTGGGAGGCAATGAGACAAAATGGATCCCCCACTCCTTCCAAATCACAGACCATGTGTTGTACATCCCTCTAAAATCTATGTATTCAGAAAAGAAAGCAAGGATAATAAAGAGGACCAGGAAGACCACATACCCATGGCTCTTACTCCATGATAGAACACTACGGGTACCTTCCCCCAGAAGTTTGTGATTAATTTGAAACCTCTGCACATTCTTTAGTCTAAGGGGGTAGGGGAATACAGGGGTTCAAGTAGATCAGTTTTTAAATGTAGTCAGCCTTTCTGTGTACACATTTAGTATTTTTACATCATTCATTTTTGTTCTCCTATAGACAGGCTAAGGAAATAATGCATATTTATATAAATTAATGGGGAAACCCACTGTGATAATTGGGAATACAAGTGAATTTTTTCACCTTGTTAAGCAAACCTTCACCTAACATCAACTGATGAAAGAATGAATGCTTTTAGTTCATGAAATAGGCAAGAATATCTTCTTTACCCATTAGAACTTCTGCCATAGGCAGAGAAAGGTCGTCTTTCCAAATTGGAAAGAGAAACTTTCTTCCTCTACAGATGGCATAATTATCTATAAGGTGTCCCAAAATTCATGGCCTCCACGGCTTTGCTGACAGATACACAAAGCTGTGGTCTTAATTGGTGTTCATTGTCCCTGCTCCTGGGCCATCATTGGTACTTGGTAATGATTATCAAATTGAAGGGATTGAAATCAAAGGGCAACAGATATTAGAATCTGATTCAATAAACCAAGTAAAATTAGGCTCTTATTTATTTATTTATGTTGTTGTTGTTAATGCTAACTCAACATTCAAATCTTGCATGAATTTTGGGACACCCTATATACATAGAAATTCCTAAGGTACCTACTACAATCTTAAGTTTACCAGGATTGTAGGGTACCAGGTCAATGTACAAAAATTAATTGCACTTCTTTTATACTATCGATGAATGTATACATACCAACATTTTATATACTCTATATAAATCTCTTAAAAAGATGAAATACTTATACATAAAACACATTGAGAACTTATTCTGTGAATATTACACAGCTCTGAAAGAAGTCGTAAGACCTAAGTAGAGATACTGTGTTCATAGATTGGGACACTCAACATAGTAAAGAGGCTAATTCTGCTCAAATTGATATATATGCAATAACCTATCAAAATTCTAGTTAGAGTTTTGTTGGTATAGATAAAATTATTTTACAATTTATTTGGAAAGAGAATATAACTAGATAACTACAACCATTTTATACAAAAAAGTAAGCAAGAATTGGTTTATTTGATTTGAAAACTTAGTACCTCAGCAACAATGGCCAGTGAATGGAGGGTAGATTAATGAAAGAGAATTAGAGGACTCAGAAATAGACTTGCTTATATATATCTAACTAATTACAAAGACAAATCAATTTTGTGAAAGATAGGGTTTTTTTTTTGTCTTCAGGAAATAGTACTAGAACAATTGAATGTTCATCAGCAAATTAGATTTAAACCTAACACTTGAAATCAAAATGTACACTTTATACTCCATATTTTGTATTCTCATATACTTCTGAATAGTAAATAGGTCAAATAAACTAACTTAGAAGAAAATGCAAGCAAAATTATGTTAGGATTTGGACTTGTTGAGGTGTTTGTACATATTACGTTAAAGAGCATTACACTTTTTTAAAATATGAGAAAGTCATAGCTCATCAAAATTAAAAATAATTGCTTTGCAAAAGATCTGTTAAGAAAATAAAGCTTTGATTGAGTGTTGTCCAATGCTCCGAAAGGTCACCAGTTCCATTCTCAATCAGGGCATGCAAGAGACAGCTGATTGATGTTTCCTCATGGATTTTTCTTTCTCTCTCCCTCTCTCTCTAAAATCAATAAAAGCATTCTTTTTCTTTTTAAAAAAAAAGCAAATCAAAAGACAAGCTACTGACCAATAGGTAATATTTACAAATCATATTTCCAGTGAAGGACTGAAATATATAAAGAGCAAAAAAAAATTCAATAACTAAAAAGTAAATGATCAAAAAGAAATTGATCTAACTAGGACATGGACAAAATACATAAAAACATACATGGTAGGCAAATAGTTTTTCTCTAATTCATTACTACATATTTTTATGATTTTTTATTTTCCTTAGAATTTTTTATATAGAAGTATGGGAGGGTGATAATTTT